AAATCCTTGTCTAATTTTTGACCCCCCAAAACTTAAGTTATCCCTCAGTACCTGTAGTGGCTTGATTTTAGGACCCCCTGTGAATACAAAAGTCTGCAAATGCTCAAGTCCCCTCTATAAAATGGTGTAGATCGATACAGGCAGTTGGCCTTCCACATCTACAGACTCTTAACCTCAGATTGAAAACAGTATGGGCATTTATTGAAAAAAGTCCACATATAAGTGGACCCACCCAGTTTAAACCCATGTTGTTCAAGGGTCAACTCTACTACCTAAACTATGTATCATAGCGTCCTTGAATAATAAGCACCAATTAAGGCTTATTGTTTTACTGTCTTACTTGATTCTTCTCCTTTGCAGATGGACCCCCATGAGAACATTTTGCTGAGCACTCTTGAGATAAAAAATGAAATGGCCACATCTGAGGCTGTGATGGGACTTGGAGACCCCAGGAGCACAATGCTGGCTTACGATGCCTCCAACATCCAGTATCGGAAAGCCGGCTTGCCCAGGCATAGTTTTGGCCGAAATGCTCTGGAACGACATGTGGCACAAAAGAAAAGCCGCCTGCGGAGACGTGCCTCCCAACTGAAAATCACCATCCCCGACTTGACTGATGTGAATGCCATAGATCGGTGGTCCCGCATATTCTTCCCAGTGGTTTTTTCCTTCTTCAACATCGTCTATTGGCTTTACTATGTGAACTAAAACATAGCCTCTCATGAGAAGCAAGGACTAGATTCCTCCTCAAACCGGTTGTACAGCCTGACGTAGGACTTGGAAAACACATTAATCCAGGACAAAAGTGATGCTAAAATACCTTAGTTGCTGGCCTATCCTGTGGTCCATTTCATACCATTTGGGTTGCTTCTGCTAAGTAATGAATACACTAAGGTCCTTGTGGTTTTCCAGTTAAAATGTAAGTGATTTGTCCACATGCTGGCAAGACTGAGTCTGAGTGTTCCACTTTATCTGCTTAGTATGCAGCCTACACAGGGAAATTATTTAGAAGATGTTCTTAGAAGGCTTGGTGTCACTGTCAGTCATTTTGATGAGAAGTGGTCATATCCAGATACTCCCATCTTCATTCTTAAGGTTGGCATGCTATTGAGATGGCACCGTGCTTATGAAACATTATCTTCAATGCCGGGTGAACACGCTTGTGGAAGATGGTCTGTGCCTGTTTTATTAAGGTGATAATGGTTCCATGGGAAAATAATTCCCACTGGATTCTAGAAAGCCCTCATGTAGTTAAAACAAGACATGGGGAGCCAAGAGAGAGACTCAGGAGACCAGGTTGGCCAGTTTCGGATTGCTTGAGCACAGGGAATCAACTGTGACATCTTCCATTTTGATATCTAGAGGCCAGGAGACTTCTAAACATTATAATGCATGGTGGCCAAAGAAATTTTTCTAAAAAACTATTTCCTAAGTGATTAAAAGAAGAGTAAACAACCCAGAACAGAGTGGAAAATCCAGAAATGACTGTTGTAACAAAATGAAAGCAAGCAAGCATCATGACCATTATCAGCCCCACACAGCATCTGGTCTACATACACTGTGTTCAGTGACAGAAGGTAGAAAGAGAGATTTTTTTCTCCAACCTCACAAGCTTTTGACAGCATACCTACAGAGGTTTGTATATTTTATCTAATTAAAATACAACCACAAAAGAGAAAAGTTAGCTGAATTAGAATTATCTTAGACATAAGTCTGATTGGGAGTTATTTAAATACACTAATATAGAGCACAGTAAACAGGTTGCTTTTCTCATAGAATGTCAGCTATCTCTGCAACATTTTCCTATAAGTTTATTTCTGACTTTAATAGGGTATTTCAAACTAAGGATTTGCTTGTTTCTTTAAAGGATTAATCGTCCTTTCCAGCTTTTCTTGCTTCTGAAATTCTTTTATTCTTAAGAGATAGACAAAGTAAGGCTTTGGAAAGATTGAGTGAAGAGTGAACTCTTTCTCCTTGTGTGCAATGAAGTTCAGCTTTGTATTTTTCACAGCAAACAGTACTTCAAAGATTATGTGCACAAGTAGAGTTAGTTTGTGGGTTTGTTAGGTTTGATTTTTTTTAAAGGGTGCTTTCATTGTATATGTTGCAATCTCCCTGATTAAGGAAAATATGAAAACAAGTGGAAAATAGGATAACAACAAAGCCACATTAACACGATGGTTATGAACCTCAGTTGATACTGTAGAAAAATATCTAACAAGTAATCAGGTAGGCCTGATGTATCGTTTTTATTCAATTTTTAAATTATGTCACTGTGGTTTCTATGCTAATTGGACATATGCATTCATATGTGGAACAGGAAGGAGAATAAGCTAATATATTTTATTTCTATCAATGTGAGGTTCATATTTCGCTTTTCTTGGAGAAAATAGTTAATTGCTAAATTTTCCTTAAAGTTTGACTTGGTTGATCTTTTCCTTCGAGGATGAATTTGGTATTTCTGTTTAAAAAACAAACACTACTTTTCAGAGTAACATTCCTAATTGTGCATAGTAGCCAAGGCCAGTATCTGCCTTTGGGTAAAATGTTAGGTTTTCTTCCCCTAATGATTCAGCAGCTTGGATTATGATGGAGTCCCACCACCCTTCTATTCCAAGTATCCAAGAACAAGAAACAAGTTTTAGCACTTAAATTTCTGAATTTGCCTCGAGACCGTGTAATATTTTTCGCTCCCCCACCATCACCACTGGCATAGGGAACTGTGGCCCTTATTTTTTTATTATACTCGTGAACACCTCTGAGTATGATTTTTTGTTTGGCACAATCCAACCAGGGTTCTGCCCATGGACTCAAAGCAGAGATTCTTCAAGTCTCTCCAGGGACACACTTTCTCCTAGGCAATCATTTTGGGGCATCACACTAATAAAAGTGCTGCCTGCCCCTCACTTGCCAGGGGTTAAAGGTTGAGTCGCAGATATCAGGAAGGAGCATATCAATAACTCAGGTGCACAACTCCAAAATGCCATTCTGGAAAAGGTTTTCTAGAGACAACTCAGAGCCCTAGTCTAGAAGTGGGCTCTTATTTGCATTTATTGTAAAAGCCATAAAAATCCTCAATTTTGTCATTTAAAATTTTGATGTCCAGGGAAGTCAACAGAGTAAGCTGGATCAAAGTGGAAAGAAGAAACTCTACAGCATGGGTGTCAAAAACATATAACCAGGGATTCATTTCTGCTCTCAGTGATAAGAAGAAACTATGAAAAAGAGAAAAGATGGGACCTTGAAACAGATAGATGCCCTAGAGCAAATCCATATGTCGGCATTCAGTAACCACATAGGTAGAAACAACTGACTCATCCTGCCTAGAGGTAACAGTAGATAAAGAATTTATTTTTAAACTACATTTTTATTGGGGTTGAGTTGGATTCACAAACTTGGGGGAGGGTTGGGGAAGGGTTCTAGATCTCGTAAATCTATGAAGACCTGTCAGCTTGATATCCAGTGATTAAATTTGAGGACCACAAAAGTGTGTTCTGGCAATTCTAATATGGTTTTACTATCAGTTTATACATATATGTATACTTTATAAAACAGCCAGATAGCCAGCAATTAAGGTGTTTTTTCATCTTCGTGAAATTCATAGGCAAATTCTGACTCTAAAATGCAGTCTAAATGAAATCTTTGATCTCAATCTGTATATATATATATATATTGTACATGACTGCTAGTAGGTCTGAAATGCATTTCCAGAATTGAAAACTCATGCAACATAATCACATGTTTGCATAGGGAATGTTACAATTCTTTCCACTGCACTTTACTAACGGGAAAAGACTTAAGCAGTGCCATCTAGACCTTTTCTCATTTCTTCAAAAGCAGTGCTAAGTTAAAAATAATAATAATAATAATAATAATAATGGTTTATGAACCAAAAGACTTTACATTCTAGCATTAGGAACACAAAAAATCTGTCAGCTTAAAAAAAGCACAACACATAGACAAAGTTGAGTGGAAAGCATAATGGGGAAATGAATCATGTTTATTTTTCAAGACCTGCATTAAATTGACAACTAAAATGATTTTCATTTTCTATAGATAACTGTTACATTTTGTGATTAATTTCATACTCAACAGCAAAAATAATCAACAAAACAACAATCAACAGACAACAGGTCTTACAACAACCTACATGTATATATGTGTATATATATATCATGTAAACATACATATATATGCATTCATATGTTGGAAAACAAAAGGAATAAGCTAATATGTTTTATTTCCTTCATTAAACCAGTGTATGAGTATTTTTCATTTGGCAACCAACAAATCAACGTATTGAAACAAGTGATACAGGGTACGAGCATTTCTCTATCAGCAAATCAATGCCTACTGTTCTTATGAACCACTGCACAGTTCGACACTACAATATTACTGTACCTCAGAACATCAGAAATTAACTAGTTCTCAGATTGCTTATCTACTTGCTCTCTTTTTCAAGGAAACAAATAACATTGTCCATTGGTGATTTAAAAATAAAAATGTCTTAAGAAAATAGAAAATGACAAAAAAAAAATCCTTCTGAGAGAAGGAAAAAAAAAACCTGAACCCCACCATGTTGGTTAGGGCAAGTACTCTCAACTGCAGATATCATGCCATTTTGCTAAGTGTACAGAGTCCACGTAATGTGAGCAACCATCACTTTCACTGAGCGTGTGTAAATATTAAAACAGATTTCTTAAATATTTTTAACTTCTCATTTGTATTTTATGGTAAGGCAATGTGCGAATTTTGTTTATGGCTTAAGTTGATGTGTTAATATAATATGTAAATACTTAAACATGCTGTAAATGAATAGTCAGTAGATACAAATAATTGTTTAGTTTTTTTTTCTTAATTTTTCTTTATTTTTTACTAAGTACAGTTATTACAGTGCCCCAACAGAGTAAACATCCTTTCGTATATATGATTTGGGATCCCAGACAGAAGGGTTTCAATTTCTCTCTCTCTCTCTCTCTCTCTCTCTCTCTCTCTCTCTCTCTCTCTCTCTCT